TTTCCCACTTTTGCATTCTAATCACCAGTGATAATCAACACGTCTTGATTGCACGTTTGGTCAATTTCAGACTACAGAAGTTGATAAAAATCTTCAATTTCCTCATCTTTGGCATTGGTGGTTGGTGTGTAAATTTGAATAATAGTAGTATTAACGAGTCTTCCTTATAGGCATATGGATGTTATCCTGTCACTGACAGTGTTATACTTCAGGACAGATCTTGAAACATCCTTTGTGATGATGAATGCCACGCCATTCCTCTTCAAACTGTCATTCCTGGCGTAGTAGATCGTATGGTTGTCTGATTCAAAATGGCCAAAACCAGTCCATTTCAGCTCACTCATGCATAGGGTATCAATCTTTATGTGTTCCATTTCATTTTTGACAACTTCCAATTTTCCTAGATTCATACTTCATACATTCCATGTTCCGATGATTAGTGGATGTTTGCAGTTGTTCTCCTCAGTTTGAGTCATGCTGTGTCAGCACATGGAGACTTGAAAGACTTACTTTATCCATATCATTAAGGTTGGTTCTACTCTGATGAGGCAGCTCTTTCCCAGTCCTATTTTGAGTGCCTTCCGACCCAAAGAGCTCATCTTCCTACACTGTGTCGGACGATGTCTCTAAGCTGTTCATAAAGTTGCCCAGTAATGTATCATACAGATTCTGAATATCTTCAAAGAATTTACATTGAAGACATTGGTTTCTTTAATGAAATAACTTTTCATTTTCAATTGCAACTCACAGTAAGAAATACAGGTAGCCCATGGTTTACAATACATTTGAATTACTACACACTGCATTTGTGACTATTTTTTTTATTATGATTTGTTTAGGTATGTATGTATTAAGGTAGATTAGTAAGTTTTTATGTAATGTTTTCAACACATAAAGACAAATACAGATTTCTGTGCAATTGATAAGGTTTTCCCTGGCCAATTTATTGAGAAGTGGATGGTCTCTTCCTTCTTCCTAAGTACCAAAGTAGGATGTAAAACATTGTGTTTATGGACTGTATTATGCCAGTTGACCTAAATGTCTCCCAAGCCTTTGGTCCCTACCCCTCAAGCCCGGTAATTCAGTTCTGTGAGGTATGTGGCTAAGGCTAAGAAGTTCCCTTCCTGTGTCGTATTACATGCATGGATATATTTGCAGCATGTACAAACAGAAGTATCTGCTGCCAGGCCTACATATGCAGTGGTTGTACATCAGTGGCCACATTCCAACCTGTTTGTGTATCTATGTATCCACTCATAAAGTATCATTAGTAATGTTGCAGGATTATAGGTGTAATTGTATTTACCATTGTTGCCTTTTACTTTTGTGTACAAAAGAATGAAATATCATTTGTTTGTTATAGACAAAGTACAAAATTTTTTTTGAACATTTATATCCAAGTGCAGGCTATTTTTCTTCAAGCCCTCATTCCCCTGTTGGAATTCCTTCGGAAGTGTTGGCATAAAGGTTAGACTTTATGACCATGTAAGTGGTTCAGTAGTAGAATTCTTACCTTCCATGTGGATACCTGGGTTTTTTCAGCCAAAACACCTCAAGCATAGCCACCACTTGTCTCTCGTTGGAGGCTTGGGGGTTTGCTGAGCAGGTTTCAGTGGAGTCCAGAATAAGACAGATTTTTGAACATCTGGTACAAGCAAGATACTTAACCTATGTCAAAGATGAACTTTATAATGGGGTGTTATGTATCATTTTGATTTTAAGGTATTGCAAGTTTCCATGCAAAAGACTTGAGTCAGCGCAAGTGATAAATGATATGAGAATAGATTGGTATTTTAACTTTTTGAAATACCGTGATAGAAGTTATTACTTAATACAAGGCAGATTTTTATGTACACGTATCTACACCTTGCCTCATTTATCCGCTCTCCCCCCCATTCCAGTTTACCTGAACAACATGCTGTCTGACCAGAGTCTGTGTCCTTACTCCAAACAACCAAGCTGCATCATTATTTTGATGCTAATCTCACACCACACACCCTATCCCACCTCATTTTCTGTTGAGCTCACTTAACTCCATCTGAACAGATGTGTTCCCTTTTGAATGTGAATCCTGGTTAAGTCCTTTTCTTCCTTTGTGTCTTAACAGATTTGGTCATATGCTTTGATTTTTTAGAAGGAGATGAAGAACTTTATTTGGGAATAAAAAACTCAACTATTAGATTTTCAACAAGTTGAAAAATTCTTTAAGTTCTTTAACGTGGTACTTTCAAACTCTTTTTCAGTCTAACTCATAGTAAGAAACATACTTTATATTGTGACCCAACATGCATATCTATTGTCTATTTTCTGTTCTGTGGAATATCATATTATCGTGTGACCCATAACTTAAAAAACATTGCATTAGGGTTGTGAAATCAGTTAAGTAGGATGCAACTAGAATTTTTTGAAAATAAAGTAGAATAGAAAACAGCATGTATTGCACATATAGTAAATAATTGGTGCATAAAACTGTAAGTTAATTTATATACTGTATAATGTATATCGGATCCTGATATTACAGGTAGTCCCTAAGTTACAATGAGGTTCTATTCAGATGAAGGATCATAAGTCATTGGTTCTGACTTAAATGGAGTACCTTTTTTTTTTCCATTATTACTGTCTTTTATTACCAGTATCTTTTTAAATCCCATCTGTATTTGTCTTTAAGTGTTGAAAACATTACATATAAACTTACAGATGTATCTTGATACATACATACCTAAACAAATCATAATAAAAAAAATCGTTACAAATGCAGTGTGTAGTAATTCAAATGTATTGTAAGTCATGGGCTACCTGTATTTCTTACTGTGAGTTGCAATTAAAAATGAAAAGTTATTTCATTAAAGAAACCAGTGTCTTCAATGTAAATTTTTTGAAAATATTCAGAATCTGTATGAAAGGCTATTTTTTCAACTGTAAAATAGAGACAATAATCTTACCTATTTCATGAGATTTTCATGAGTAAAATGAAGTTTTTAATAGTACCTGGTACTACATAATATTAGGAGCCCAGGTGGCTCAATGGGAGGTCTGGTGGCATAGTGCCTAAAGCATTTGACTGCTAACCAGAAGGCTGGTGGTTCAAACCCACCAGCGACTCCTCAGAAGGAAGATGGGGCAATCTATTTCTGTAGAGATACCCCCTCGGAAACCCAAGGAAAGGTCGCTATGAGTCAGGGTCAACTCAATGGCAATGAGTTAGGTGCTCCACTGGAGAAAGATGTGGCAGTCTGTTTCCATAAAGATTGTTGTTGTTACATGCCATTGAGTCAATATCAACTCCTAGTGACCCCATGTGACAGAGTAGAACTGCCCCATAGTATTTTCTAGGCAGTAATCTTTATGGAAGCAAATCACCAAGTCTGTCTTCTGTGAAACCACTGGGTTAGCAGCCAAGCTAACCACTGTGTTTTGGAAACTCTGTGGGACACTTCTCTGTCATGTAGGGTTGGTTGGTATGAGTTAGAATCAGCTTGACAGTAACAGGATGATACATAGTGTTGGCTAAATATGTGGTATATAGTTACATGATAGCCATACTAATATGGATGTTACCATCATCTAATTGTATATTATGTAATCTTTTTCATTTGTATCTTTTTCTTTTTTTATGTCTATAAAATATTTCAAGCTCATTGTAAAAATATTAGATATCATAGAAAGTTTGAAAACAGCCAATCACATATAGTTCTTCCACCCAAAGATAACCAATACTAAGCTTTTCTTGAGTTTTCTTGCTTTTCTTTGTTACCATAAATGTGATAATATATTTCTATATAAATTTTTTGGTGCAAAATTGATAGAACAATACTTTGCAACCTCCTTGTTTTGTTTAACATTTTCCCCCATTCAGAAAATTGTTAAAACTGACTGCATAGTATTATATTCGCTGCCATCAAGTCGATTCCACCTCATAGTAACCCCTTTGGGTTTCCGAGGCAGTAAATCTTTATGGAAGTAGATTGTCCAGTCTTCCTTCTGTGGAGTGGCTGGTGGGTTTTAACCACCAACCTTATGGTTAGCAGTCATATGCCTTAGACACTAAGCCATCAGAGCTCCTTGAATAGTGTTATAGTATGGGAAATAACATTTATTTTATAATTGACCTATTTATGTTATTTTTTGCTGTTAGAAACACAATGCAATATACATCTTTGTTTATATACTATTTTAC